TTTTATGGGGACAAGCAAGGCAGTAAGAAATACATACATTTCCCCCCTCCTAACTGAGTTTCCAGAGGACTTATAGTTATTATATTAGAAGAACAGTTCAACAGGCGACTCTGAACCCTTAGCATTAAGAAGGCGGAAACAGGGAGCAAACAGGTGTGCAGGGAATGAGAAAAGAAAAGGGGAAGATAAGAGGAAACAGGAGAAAGAAGGAAAAGAAATAAGAAACTAGTAAGGAATAACAGTGGTTCCAAACTTTAATGTACTCCTGAAACTGCTTGTTGAAAATGGGTATTTCTAGGATTTACCCCCAAGAGATCCTGATTCATTATGAACAAAATAGATCCAGAGACTTAGAAGCATAGAAGAGACCAATGAATCTCAGAAGGTGGGTGGGGAGAGATTAACCAAAGAACTTATATGCATAATTCATGGACACAGACAATAGTGTGGTGAAGGCTTGGGTGGGGGCAGAGGGTAGAGATAAGTGAGTGTGTGGGGGGGGGTGGGGAAAGATTAACTGGGGAACTTATATGCATACATGCATAGCCATGGGCACAGACAATAGTGTGGTGGGCAGAGGGTAGAGATGGGTGTGGAATGGAGGGGGTCAATGGGGAAAAAGTGGGACATCTGTAATACTTTCAACAGTAAAGATACTTTTTTAAAAAGATAAAATAAGTCTATAGGAGAGGGGAGGCTAAGAATCTGCATTTCCAATAGGCATCCAAGAGATCAGGTACAGATGGTCAGAGAGCCACACTTGGAAAAATACTAGAGAGTAAAGCAGAGGTCCCTAAGAATTAACTTTCCCCTTCATTTTTCAGAACTGTTAGAAATGCCACTTTATTTTAACTAAGACTTGGGCAGGCAATGGCAGGATGAGTGAGGTAACCAGAGGTGACAAAAGTGGACTAAAGATGCCTCTTCAGCTCTTTCATCTGAAGGAGAAGTCCAAGATGATAATGAAAATGACTGCTCAGAGCTCATGGGAGAGGGCAGAGGCCTTCCATGGCATCTGGGAAGGGAAGGCTGTGGCAACCCCTGTAGACCCAGCTCTGCATTTGATCTTATTTTCTTTTAAAATATAAAAAGGTTTAAGCATGGTGATTATTATTATGAACTAGTGGCCCAGTGCATGAAATTCATGCACTGGGCGGGGGGAGAAGGGGGTGGGCCTCAGCCCGGCCAGCACCCTCTCCAATCCGGGATCCCTTTCGCAATCCAGGATTTGGACAGCCCTCTTGCAATCCGGGACCACTGGCTCCTAACCGCTCCCCTGCCTACCAGCCTGATCGCCTTCACTGCTCTCCCCTGCCAGCCTGATCCCCCTAACTGCTCTCCTCTGCTGGCCTGATCACCCCTAACTGCCTCTGCCTTGGCCCCGCCATCATGGCTTTGTCCGGAAGGATGTCCAGTCTAATTAGCATATTAGCCTTTTATTAGTATAGATAATAACGGTGAAATAACACCCATTTAAAATACCTTGACTATTGGCAATCCTAATATCAGCTGAGATGATCATCTGGGCTGTGTGTTTAAAATAACATGTTTTGCCCAGCCCGTGTGGCTCAGTGGTTGAGTGTCGACCTATGAACCAGGCGGTCACAGTTCCATTCCCAGTCAGGACACATGTCTGGGTCGCAGGCTCCATCCCCAATGTGGGGTGTGCAGGAGGCAGCTGATGAATGATTCTCTCTTGTCATTGATGTTTATATCTTTCCCTCTCCCTTTCTCTCTGAAATCAATAAATATATATATATTTTAAATAACATGTTTTCAGGAATTTCCCTCCCTTTCCTTTTCCCATTTCTCTTTCCTACTTAAAAGTGGGTTAAAACCTGGCCCACACACAGCTCTTTCCGTTTGAAATATGGAAGCTTTTGCTGTCTCCTGGAAATCTGAAAAAGGGACCTTGCTGAAAGACAAACCCTAAAAAACAGAGTGATAAAGTGGGTAAGCTTTCGTCTCAAATCTCTGGGTGTCAGTACGGGTGTGATGATTTATAGTCTACCTTGGAGCTTAAATGAGAGTGGGCAAGTCAGATAGCAAAATGCATAAATAGCCCTAACCAGTTTGGCTCAGTGTATAGAGTGCTGGCCCACAGACTTGAGGGTTCAGTGTTTGATTATGGTTAAGGACATGTACCTTTGTTGCGGGCTCGATCCCCAGTAGGATCGATGTTTCTCTCTCATCAATGTTTCTAACTCTCTATCCTATTCCCTTCCTCTCTGTAAAATCAATAAAAATAAAAAAATAAAAACTGTTCTGCCTTAATTTAAACAAACAAACAAACAAAAAGAATGCACAAATATGAGGAAGGTGGTAACAGTGGTGAGCCTACTTGTGTCAGCTACTTTATATACATTAACCCTAATCCTTGAGACCTTGACAAAAAAAACTAGTATTAATTCCTTAATTCCATTTTACAGATGAGGTACCCGAAGTTCAGGGTGGCTAAAAACACTTGTCCTTACAGTCAAGTCATTGTGACATTGCACTGTAATTTCCAGACTTTCTAATTCTAGAAACAAACCCCAGACGGCCACAGAGACCTTTACAAATCCTTACTGTTACCCAAAGAGCTTTTATAATAACTAGGAGCCCTGGTGTGTTTGGTTCTGCTTCAGTCAAAGACTAGCCAAGTGACCATGGCCAAACAGGTTCCTCATTTGTAGGCTGAGCAGTTGGACTACACCTTAACCCTTTGAGGTCCAATTTTATTTTTGGAATTCAAACAGTCTCGTCCAAATTAATTGACGTGATTGAATGTTGAACTGGTTTGTGGTGTCGACCTCAGCCTCGACGTTGGACCTGCTCCTAGCGCCTGGTCTGTCGAGTCAGCCTCGAAGTTGGACCGAAAAGGGTTAAAGGTCTATTTCATCTATTGTGTGTTCTCGAATTCCCAGAATAGGAAATTCAGGTGACTCTTAAATAGGTTGAACAATGCTCAACCTTAGTCATGATAACTGAATGCAAATTATTATTTCACCAAGATGCTCTATCAGACTGAAAGATACCAAAATGTGTGCCACAGTGTGCTGGTCAAAGTGGGGGGAGAGATACACTCTCTGACATTATTGGGGGCCCAGAGGTGGGTACCATCTCTACTGAGGGCAGTTTAGCAACATCTATTAAAAGTCCTAATACACGCAACCTCTGAGCTAACAATTCCACTGCTGCCTGCCCATTTTTGTCTCTAGCACCAAAAAACCAACAAAACGAAACACATTAAGGAGGAAATCATTAAATTTCTTTGTGTCCTTTGTCTTTGCAGAAAGATTACTGCTGCTTGCCTTCTTTTTCTAATGAGAACTTTCAGGAAAGCTTTCCAATGAAATGTAGTCCACAAAACATTACCTATGAACTTTACTGCTTTCCAACAGAATCTGGGAAAAGCCAAACAAAAGAAAACAAAAAACAATTTGGAGAGATAAACATGTATGAGAAAGAATCTACCTAGAAATTCTAATGTATTAGCTATCGGTGGTCTACTACCTGGAAGCACATTCAATGCAGTATCCTGCCCAAATATTTTCCATGCTCTTTCCCCTTCTATTATATTTCAACTCCCCTTATAATGAGATGGCACTGTCAAGGGAGGCAGCGAGCCCAAGCCAGATGAGGTCTTGTTCTACCGTTCTATATGCTACCTGCCCATCCCACCTCTCTTTCTCCCTATCTTCCCACTGCTCTGTCAAGCCCAGCTAACGTTTGAAAAGAACCCCGGGAGAGTCTTATTCTACATTTTAAAATATTCTGAAAGATCTGAGACCCAAACTTACAACAAGAAAATTTAGGTTTGTTTGTTTATTTCAAGGGTTTAATATTTAAATGGACAAAAACTAAAAGATTCTAAGTTTCTGACTTTTAGTATTATGTTTATAAAAACTTATAGCACATTTTTATTTGCTTTTAGATTTTTAATTTTTTACTTATTTACATTTTTATTTTTTAATCAATCTAAATTGTATTTTGGTATATGGCATAAGACTCTAACTGTACCTTTCCCCACATAGTCTTGTTCCCAAATCATTTATCAACTATTCCATCCTTTTCTGCCAATGATTCATACATAAATTCTCATGAATATGATTATTCTTTTTCCACTGCCTCTGCTGTGTCATCCACCTAAGCTATTGCCATGGTCTAACATATTATTTACATGATTGTGGCTTTACAATATGTTTTGATATCCGGTAGCTCAAGTTCTCTCATTAACTTGTTCAGTACTCTTATCTATTTTTGCTTGCTCGTACCTCCAGATTAATTTTGGAACATCTTTGTCATGTTATCCCAAAATTAATCCACTGGGACTGTGCCTATGATAGCATAATATTTATAAATTAAATTAGGATTCATTAATAATTATTCCCATCTAGAAATATATGGTATGCCTCTCTAGGAGCAGCCTGTTCTTAAAAAAGGAAAAAGGAGAAGGAGAAGAAGATGAAGGGGAAGGGGAAGGGAAAGGGGAAGAAGAAGAAGGAGGAGGAGGAGGAGAAGGAGGAGGAGAATCATCTTGAGTAATTTCCTGAATTACTACATCATGACAAATGGCAGGTCAGTCTGCAGTAGTTTACCCGAAAGTTAAAAAAAAACACACACCACTGGATGTCAGAAGGATAGTGGCATATGAGGTCCTCATGGGCTCGCTCCTTGAGGTTTCAACGAATTGAACAGCTATAATTCAGCAAAGAATTCCCTGCTCAACACACAACATGTCACATTGAAACATCTGAGGGGATTAAGTAAAAAAAAAATCACACACACAGACAACAGTTTGGTGATTACCAGAAGTAAAGGAAAGGGGTAATAACCAGGTAGAAGATGGTAAAGAGGTGATGATAAATGGGGACAGAAGGAGACCTGCCTTTGGGTGGTGAACACAAAGTACAGTTGACATATTATAGAACTGAACACTTGAAACTCATATCATTTTATTAACTAATGTCACCCCAATAAATTCAATAAAAAATTTAAAAAATAAATATCTGCAGGTGGGCAAGTGGAAGCAAACTAGGGAGATGGGAAGGGAGAAGAGCTGAGATGATGCTAGGGAGGCAGCCTGGAGCTCCCAGCACGGAGCTCACTGCAGGACACAGCTCAAAGAGGAGAGGAATCAGGTTGCCACTGGCTCTCCCTTCAGCTGGGAGTTGACACAGTGAGTATTTCAGTGGGAGTGGCCAGTACTTTATAAAGCTGAACCCAGTAACCTAGGCAGGGACAAAGCACAGAGATGCGGCCACGGTTATCTGTCAATTCCAGACAGAAAACAAAGCAACAGAACTTGACCACCTCCCCTCACACTCCCAGAGCCCACCTCCACTCATCTCCCCAGAGATAGAAGCAGACCCTAACAGTGGTTCTCAACCTTCTGGCCCTTTAAATATAGTTCCTCATGTTGTGACCTAACCATAAAATTATTTTCGTTGCTACTTCATAACTGTAATGTTGCTACTGTTATGAATCGTAATATAAATACCTGATATGCAAGATGGTCTTAGGTGACCCCTGTGAAAGGGTCGTTCGACCGCCAAAGGGGTCGCGATCCACAGGTTGAGAACCGCTGCAGAAGCTGTATGAGTGTGTCAGGTCGCAAAGCACATTATCTACAAATCTGAAAACTGGTACAAGAGAAACATTTTTCCCTGAGTGACAGGCTAATCCCAGTATTCAGATGGAAATACAGGGGGGAGGCCACTGATGAATGCGTCACCATTACTGGGAAAACAAAACAACAAAGGCACTGTACAGCCATCAGTTCACCCAACCCCCACCCATCCAGCTGCACTGCTAACAGCATCTGGCTGCAAGGGATAGCACTGGGATTTCATGGATTTGGAACATTATCACCCACCACTTACCCATGCAGGGTTGGTCCCCTGAGACCAAGGCTACCTGAATACAGAGGAAATGCCCACCTTTCCAAGCTGCAAGACAGAGACACAATGTTACCTACAAGGGAACTCCTGGTAGAATGTCAACTGATTTCTCAACAGCAACACCTCAGGCCAGAAGGGAGTGGCATGGAGTATACAAAGTAATGAAAACCAGGGGATTGAACCCAAAACTACTCTATCCACCAAGGCTATCATTAAAAAAATCTACAGTGAAACAAAGAGCTTCGCAGGCAACAAAAGGCTAAAAGAATTTACCACCACCAAACCAGCCCTGCAAGAAATGCTACAGTGACTGGTGTAAGAAGAAGAAATAGAGAGGAAGAGAAGAACACAGGTATAAACATATAAAGAGTAAGAATGGCAACAAATAAGTATCTATCAATAATAACCTTAAATGTAAATGGCTTAAATGTTCCAATCAAAAGGCATAGAAGAGTTGAATGGATAAGGAAACATGACCCATAAATATGCAGTCCACAAGAAACTCACCTCAGAACTAAAGACTCATACAGAATGAAAATGAAGGGATGGAAAAAATTTTCCAGGCAAACAGAAATGAAAAAACAAATAAACCACTGGGGTATCAATACTCATATCTGACAAAATTCAATAAAATTTAAAAAAATTTTAAAGTGAATGCTACAAGAGACAACGAAGGCCACTCCAAAATACTAAAGGGACCAGTACAACAAGAGGATATAGTAACTCTGGTAAACATATATCAAAATATATTTTAAAACTTCTGGAGGATTTTAAAGGAGAGATGGACAGTAATAAAGTCATAGTAGGAGACTTCAACACCCCACTGACATCATTGGATAGATCTAAATCAACAGAGAAATAGTAATCCTAAATGACATACTAGATCAGATGGAATTAATTGACATTTACAGAACATATCACCCTAAAGCAATAGATTACACATTCTTCTCAAGTGTACAGGGGACATTTTCAAAGAGCCCAGCCAGTATGGCTCAGTGATTAAGCATGACCAATGAACCAGGAGATCATCATTCTATTCCCAGTCAGGGCATATGCCCAAGTTGCAGGCTCGATCTCCAGTGTGGGGTGTGCAGGAGGCAGTAGATCAATGATTCTCTCTCATCATTGATATTTCTGTCTCTCTCCCTCTCCCTTCCCCTCTGAAATCAATAAAAATGTATTTTTTAAAAAAGACCACATGTTAGACACAAACTAAGTCTCTACAAGTTCAAGAAGATTGAAATCATATTAAGCATCTTCTCAGATCACAGTGGCATAAAACTAGAAATCAACTACAATAAACACACCCCAAAACATTCAAACACATAGAGGCTAAATAGCATGTTATTAAATAATGAGTGGGTTACCAAAGAGGTCAAGAAAGAAATGAAAAACTTCTTGGAAACAAATGAAAATGAACACAAAATAACCCTAAATTTTTGGGAGACAATGAAAGCAGTCCTGAGAGAGTAGTTCATAGCATTACAGGCCTACCTCAAAAAATAAGAAAAACTTCTAATAAATTATCTAACCCTGCAACTTAAAGAATTAGAAATAAAACAAGAAAAGCCCAGAGTAAGGAAAAGGACGGAAATAAAGATCAGAGTGGAAATAAATGACATAGAGACTAAAAAACAAACAAACAAAAAAACCCACCATACAAAAGGTCAATAAAACCAAGAGCTAATTCTTTGAAAAGATAAACAAGATGGATGAACATATAGCCAGACTCATCAAGACACAAAGAAAGAGGACCCAAATACACAAAATCAGAAAAGAAAGAGGGGAAGGAATAGCTGACCCCACAGAAATACAAAGGATCGTACAAAACAACAACAAAAAAACTATGAACAACTATATTCCAACAAGCTGGACAACCTGGGCAACATGAATAAATTCCTAAAAAAATACAACCTTCCAAAACTCAGTCAGGAAGAATCAGAAAACCTGAATAGGCCAATAACTACAGATGAAATTGAAGCGTTAAAAAAACACTCTGAGGAAATAAAAGCCCTAATCCAGACGGCTTCACAAGGGAGTTTCACCAAACATTCAAAGAACTAACACCTATTCTCCTCAAACTATTCCAAAAAATCCAAGAGGAAGGAACACTTCCAAGCTCTTTTGTCAAGGCTAACATTAGCCTAATTCCCAAACCAGATAAAGACATTACAAAGAAAGAGAATTACATGGCAATATCCCTGATGAACACAGATGCTAAAATCATCAACAAAATATTAGCAAATCGGACCCAGCAATACATTAAAAAGATCATACACCATGACCAAGTGGGATTTATTCCAGGGATGCAAGGCTAGTACAATCTTAGAAAATCAATGAATGTGATATATCACATTAACAAGTTGGAAGACTAAAATCACATGATCATATCAATTGATGGTGAAAAAGCATTTGACAAAATCCAACAGTCTTTTTTGAAAAAACTCTAAGTGGGAACAGAGAGATCATACATCAACATAATAAAAGCTCTATATGACAAACCTACAGCCATCATGATACTCAATGAGAAAAAACTAAAACCATTTTCCCTAAGAACAAGAACAAGACAAGGATGTCTGTTTTCACCATTCTTATTCAAGATAGTACTGGAAAACCTAGCCATGGTGATCAGACAAGAAGAAAAAATAAAATGCATACAAATTGAAAAGGAGGGCATAAAACTGTCATTATTCTCACAGATGATAACAGACCACCAATTAACTACTAGATTTAATAAATGAATTGGCAATATAGCAGGATACAAAATCAATACCCAGAAATCAATGGCATTTTTATATGCCAATAATAAACTCTCAGCAAAATAAACTAAAAAAATCCCATTTATTATTGCAACAAAAATTTAAGATACTTAGGAATAAATTTAATCAAGGAGGTAAAAGACCTGTACTCAGAAAACTACAGCACATTGAAAAAAAGAGATAGAAGAAGATATAAACAAGTGGAAGAATATACCATGTTCATGGATTGGTAGAATTAATATCATTAAAATATCCATTCTACCCAAAGCAATCTATAGATTCAACGCAATCCCTATTAAAATACCAATGGCATATTTCACAGATCTAGAACAAACTCTACAAAAATTTATACGGAACCAAAAAAAACACAAACAACAACAAACAAACAAACAAACAAAAAGGATGTCTGTTTTCACCATTCTTATTCAAGATAGTACTGGAAAACCTAGCCATGGTGATCAGACAAGAAGAAAAAATAAAATGCATACAAATTGAAAAGGAGGGCATAAAACTGTCATTATTCACAGATGACATAACAGACCACCAATTAACTACTAGATTTAATAAATGAATTGGCAATATAGCAGGATACAAAATCAATACCCAGAAATCAATGGCATTTTTATATGCCAATAATAAACTCTCAGCAAAATAAACTAAAAAAATCCCATTTATTATTGCAACAAAAATTTAAGATACTTAGGAATAAATTTAATCAAGGAGGTAAAAGACCTGTACTCAGAAAACTACAGCACATTGAAAAAAAGAGATAGAAGAAGATATAAACAAGTGGAAGAATATACCATGTTCATGGATTGGTAGAATTAATATCATTAAAATATCCATTCTACCCAAAGCAATCTAGAGATTCAACACAATCCCTATTAAAATACCAATGGCATATTTCACAGATCTAGAACAAACTCTACAGAAATTTATACGGAACCAAAAAAAACACAAATAACAACAAACAAACAAACAAACAAAAACAACTGCAAATAGCTGCAGCAATCCTGAGAAAGAAGAACAAAGTTGGAGAGATCACTTTACCAGATATTAAGCTATATTACAAAGCCACTGTTGCATACAAATTGAAAAGGAGGGCATAAAACTGTCATTATTCACAGATGACATAACAGACCACCAATTAACTACTAGATTTAATAAATGAATTGGCAATATAGCAGGATACAAAATCAATACCCAGAAATCAATGGCATTTTTATATGCCAATAATATACTCTCAGCAAAATAAACTAAAACAATCCCATTTATTATTGCAACAAAAATTTAAGATACTTAGGAATAAATTTAATCAAGGAGGTAAAAGACCTGTACTCAGAAAACTACAGCACATTGAAAAAAAGAGATAGAAGAAGATATAAACAAGTGGAAGAATATACCATGTTCATGGATTGGTAGAATTAATATCATTAAAATATCCATTCTACCCAAAGCAATCTATAGATTCAACGCAATCCCTATTAAAATACCAATGGCATATTTCACAGATCTAGAACAAACTCTACAAAAATTTATACGGAACCAAAAAAAACACAAACAACAACAAACAAACAAACAAACAAAAACAACTGCAAATAGCTGCAGCAATCCTGAGAAAGAAGAACAAAGTTGGAGAGATCACTTTACCAGATATTAAGCTATATTACAAAGCCACTGTCCTCAAAACAGCCTGGTACTGGCACAAGAACAGGAATACAGATCAACTGAACAGAACAGAGAACCCAAAAATTGGGTTATTATTCTCAATTAATATTTGACAGTGGAGAGAAGAGCATACAATGGAGTCAAGACAGTCTCTTAAATAAATGTGCTGAGAAAATTGGACAGGTACATGCAAAAAAAAAGAAAAAAGAAAAGAAAGAGAAAGAAAAGAAAGAATCTAGACCACCTACTTACACCATACACAAGAATAAATTAAAAAATGGATAAAAGACCTAAATGTAAGTCGTGAAACCATAAAAATCCTAGAAAAAAACATAGGCAGCAAAATCTCAGCCATCTCTTCTCATAACAATGTATTTGCAGATACTCCCATGGCAAAGGAAACTAAGGAGAAAATAGACAAATGGGCTACATCAAAATGAAAAGCTTCTGCACATCAAAAGTAACCATCAACAAAGTGAAAAGAGAGCCCACTGCATGGGAGAACATCTTTGCCAATGATACATCTGATAAGGTGTTAACTTCCAAAATATATAAGGAACTCATATAACTTAACAAAAGGAAGACAAACAATCCCATAAAAAATGGGCAAGGGACCTAAATAGACACTTCTCCCCAAGTATACATATATACAAAATGCCAGAATACTAACAGGGATGGGCAAACTTTTTGTGAGTGCGTGCCAAAACCAGCAAAATCTCTGACTCAAAATTCTTCTGCGTGCCAACCCTAATTTTTTGAGAACATGTTATGTCTACTTGATATCTCTTAAGGTGTGTACGTATGTGAAGAACCTTGAAGAAATAAAATTCATTCGAGCGATAAAAACAGTATATGATGATGAAAAATACATTTATTTTTTAATGTATACATGTACACTGATAGTCCGACAGAAAACTTTATGACTCCGTTTGATATTATCAGTGGAACTTTTGCTGCTGTATCACTGATGACAGAGATTTTACATCAGGCTTATATTTCGAGACCTTCAGAGATATGCACGAGCTACTACTTTCATCCATCAGGCTACTCCTATTATGAGACTTAACAAAATTCATCACTAAAAAAAAAAATCATTACTGAAAACAAAGGTTCACAATTGTAAATGGAAGATTATAAGAGAGGGTTTCGCGTGCCAGCAAAAGTTACTGGCGTGCCATGGGTTGCCCACCCCTGACCTAGGCTATACAAGAACACAGCAACTGAGTTATGTCTACATAAGAACAAACGATAAACATTTTGTAAATGAAATACAGATCTAATTTTTCAAATAGTTTGTCTTTTGTTTACTTTAGAAAGTGCTTCCCTGGGGGAGCAAGTCTTTTTTCTGTTTCTGATGTGGAAAGACACATTTTTTTCTTAATATTTTTATTGATTTCAGAGAGAAAGGGAGAGGGGGAGAGAGAGAAACATCAAGGATGAGAGGGAATCATTGATGGGCTGCCTCCTGCACGCCCCCCACTGGGGATGGAGCCCACAATCCCCGCATGTGTCCTTGACTGGAACCGAACCCGGGACCCTTCAGTCCACAGGCCCACGCTCTCTCCACTGAGCCAACCCCGCTAGGAGCAGGGAGCACGCCTGGATCCCAGGCTGCCAGGCCCATGCGAGGGCTGGGGTGCGGTGCTAAGATTGCACCAGAGGCTCCAGGCCGAGGCTCGCCCCGTCCTGACAGCGCGGGTCTCCCGCTGGCATTGTCTCCAGGTGCTGCCCGGGGTCTGTAAAGCCACAGAGACCCCCACGCCCCTGCAAGTGCCTTACCTGCCCCTGGGCGCAAAGCTCCCGCTTTTCCAGCAGCTCCCAGGCTCGGTCCGCCGCTGCCCCCGCGAACTGGCCGGAGCCGACAGGGATTGGCCGCCTGCGTGGAGGAGGTGGGGCCCGGCCCGCGGAAGGGAAAGCAGGGAACGGGGAGAGGAGGGGACCCGCCCACGCCCAGCTCTGTGCAGGGACTTGCAGGGCTGAGGGCTGCGAGCTGCTCTGTGAGCGCTGCTCCTAGCTGTGTCACTGCCCTGTTCCCTGCGCCCTGCTTGGCAGCAGCGAGTGGCAGTGGCTGTTAAACAGCAACGTTTTAACTCCCAAGGCTGAAAGGTTTTGTTTTGTTTTGTTTTTTTAAAGAAAGAGTTATGCCATTGCTAGCAAAAAAAAGAAAAAAGAAAAAGGACCGGTCCTGCCCTGGCCGGTTTGTCACTGTGGTTAGTCTGTGGGCCTGAGGGCTAAAGGGTCACGGGATTCAATTCCTGGTCAAGGGCATGTGTGCAGGAGGCAAGCAGCTGTTTTGAGATCCTTCCCTGTGTGCGGGAGAAGCAGCTGTTTTTGCTTTCTCTCTCTCTCTCTCTCTCTCTCTCTCCTTTGTTTAGTTCATACCTAGATATTTTATTCTTTTGGTTGCAATTGCAAATTATTTTTCTTTCATTTTTTTTGAAATGTTATTGTAAGTATATAGGAACATAATAGATTTTTACACATTGCTTTGGTGTCCTGAAAATTTACTGTATTTCTAGTAATTTTTTGGTGAAGTTTTTAGGGTTCTCTATATGAAACATCATGTCATCTGCAAAAGTGACCATTTTACTTCTTCATTCTCAATCTGGATGCTTTTCATTTCTTTCTCTTCCCTACTCTGACCATGATTTCCAATACTATGTTGAATAACAGTGGTGAGAGTGGGCATCCTTTCTTGTTCCTAACCTTAGAGGAAAAGCTTTCAGCTACTCAATATTCAGTACACAAGTTGCAGGTTTGCCATAGATAGCCCCTATTATGTTGAGGTAAGTTTATTTTTTCCTGGAGGTACTTGTTTATGGTTATAAATGGTTATAAATGGTTTAATTATAAATGGATGTTGCATCTTTTTCAAATGCTTTTGTTGCACCTATTGATAAGATCATATGAATTCTATACCCATTCTATTAAGTGTTTTAATTATAAATGGATGTTGCATCTTTTTCAACTGCTTTTGTTGCACCTATTGATAAGATCATATGATTTTTATTTTTACTCTGTTAAGGTGGTGTATTACAATGACAGATTTGCATATGTGGTTTTTTTTCCTGTGCAGGTGAATTCTTTTTAAAAATTAT